TTCCCAAGTAGCTGGGACTACAGGTGCCCGCCATCACGCCCGGCTAATTTTTGTATTTTTAGTAGAGACGGGGTTTCACTCTGTTGGCCAGGCTGGTCTCGAACTCCTGACCTCATGACCCACCCAGGAGGTAGGGTTTTTGTCTGCGTGGTTCACTACTAAGTCCTCAGCACTAGGAGGAGACGACCTAACATATAGGAGGCACTCAGCAAATTTCCATGAACAAATGAATGGAGGGATAGATGAATGAATGAATCTGTATCTCCAGTGGCTTTGTCCTCTCTTATATCAGCTTTGTTCCACATCTTACACTTAGGAGGTGATTCAATTAAACATTGCTTTGTTTTTGCATGTTTGGCAGTTTTTGTTTGTTTGTTTTGAGACAGCATCTCAATCTTTCCCCTAGGTTGGTATGCAATGGCGCCAGCACCACTCACTGCAGCCTCAACTTCCCAAACTCAGGTGATTCTCCCACCTCAACTCCCCGAGTAGCTGGGACTACAGGCATGCACCACCACACCAGCTACTTTTTGGATTTTTAGTAGAGATGGGGTTTCGCTGTGTTGCCAAGTCGGGTCTCAAAATCCTGGCCTCAAGCCATCCATTCGCCCAACTCGACCCCCTAAAGTGCTGGGATTATGGGCATGAGCCACTGCACCCAGCCAACCATTGTAAATGAACCAATCAATGAATTTCTCCCTGGGTAGTGAAGCTCCTGCTTTTTGAGGTAACCCAGACTTTCCATTTGTATGTTTCCTGAGTCCCTGACTGTACATTCTTCCTGCATATTGTCTCCAGGACTAAGAGAATGGAGCCTTTTGCCAAGAAGAGGTTGAGTTCTCAGGCCTCCAGTTTAGATTAAATAGTGGTTTTACAGGGGAAAAAAAAGTGAGAAACCCCCAGAAGTTGTGGGGAGCTGAGGGAGTGGGAAGAGGGTTCCCCAGGGACAAACTCCTCCTTGCCCCCCTGCCCAGTGCCCCAGGGCACACTGCCCAGTGGGTGAAAGCAGCCAGACACACGGGCTCACTGCAGTTAGCAAGCAAACCTAAGTGTATCAAGATGGGCCCACTGACGCCAGCTGCTCTGAGTGGATCTGGAATGAATTGGGGGGTTGTTAAGATCGCCGACTTAAGCCTCTTCTCACAGGAAAAATATTTATTTCACTGAGCTCTGCTTTTTGGAAAGCTGCGCCTGTAACAGTCTGCATCGATCTAGCAGAGTTTTGGCTACTGCTGGGTTTTGTCTCCCTCCTGTCTCAGTTGGCGTGGGCTGTGTGTGTGTGTGTGTGTGTGTGTCCACAGCACACCCTCCCATTATTAAGTAATCAGCCAAAAGACTCAGCCAGGACACTCTGCTCTTCTTTAACCAGAAAAAAGATGAACACGAACTGAGTTCGTGGCATGAGGCACGAGACCTTCATGTTTTATCTTCAAAGATGCCTGCTTGAAACTAGCAATTCTTTCTTTCTTTCCCTTTTTATCTAGTAAATTGCTCCCTCTACCTCCTCCCAGTTTGGGAAAAAAATACAGACAACTATGAAGAAGAAAGTAAAAATCACTCCTATGGTTAGGTTAGGGTTGACTGCAGAATTGTTCTTTCCTTTTTGAGACGGAGTCTCACTGTTGCCCAGGCTGGAGTGCAGTAGTGTGATCTCGGCTCACTGCAACCTCTGCCTCCTGGGTTCAAGCGATTCTCCTGCCTCAGCCTCCTGAGCAGCTGGGACTATAGGCCCACATCACCATGCCCGGCTAATTTTTGTATTTTTAGTAGAGACAGGGTTTCACCATGTTGGCCAGGCTGTCCCCTTCTTTCATACTCTTTGGAGTTGAAGGGCCTGGGTTTGAATCCTAGCTCTGCTATTTGCTGGCTGTGTAACCCTGAGAATCATGTTACCACTTGGAACCTCTGTTTCCTCATCTGTAAAATGGTGTAACAATAGTACCTACCTCTTTGATTGTTGGGAGGAGTAAACAAGAGAAAGTATATATAGAGCTTAGTGAAGGTTCAGCAACAGTAAATGCAAACAGTACCTATTTTATAGGAGAAATATATACAATATTTATCTCTTTTTCATAAAACAATATAGTGTATACAGTTTCCTGTTTCATTGCCTCATTTTAGAGGCAGAGTCTTGTTGTGTTGCCCAGGCGGGCCTCAAACTCCTGTCTGTGTTCAAATGATCCTCCTGCCTCAGCCTCCTGAGTAGCTGGGATTACAGGCATCCGCCACCACACCCGGCTAATTTTTGTACTTTTAGTAGAGACGCGGTTTCACCACATTGGTCAGGCTGGTCTCAAACTCCTGACCTCGTGATCCACCCACCTTGGCCTTCCAAAGTGCTGGGATTACAAGGCGTGAGCCACCGCGCCCAGTCAACTCGTAAGCATTTCTTTTTTTTTGAGACGGAATCTCGCTCTGTTGCCCAGGCTGGAGTGCAGTAGCGTGATCTCGGCTCACTGCAAGCTCCGCCTCCCGGGTTCACACCATTCTCCTGCCTCAGCCTCCCGAGTAGCTGGGACTACAGGCGCTCACCAGCAAACCTGGTTAATTTTTTCTATTTTTTAGTAGAGACAGGGTTTCTTTTTTTTTTTTTTTTTTTTTTTTGAGATGGAGTCTCGCTCTGTCGCCCAGGCTGGAGTGCAGTGGCGCGATCTCGGCTCACTGCAAGCTCCGCCTCCCGGGTTCACGCCATTCTCCTGCCTCAGCCTCCCGAGTAGCTGGGACTACAGGCGCCCACAACCGCGCCCGGCTAATTTTTTGTATTTTTAGTAGAGACGGGGTTTCACCGTGGTCTCGATCTCCTGACCTTGTGATCCGCCCGCCTCGGCCTCCCAAAGTGCTGGGATTACAGGCGTGAGCCACCGCGCCCGGCCAGAGACAGGGTTTCACCGTGTTAGCCAGGATGGTCTCGATCTCCTGACCTCGTGATCCGCCCGCCTTGGCCTCTCAAAGTGCTGGGATTACAGGCATGAGCCACCGTGCCCAGCCAAGCATTTCTAATGACTGCAAAATAGTCCATACATTAGTTTTTAAACCGTTTCCTATGGATGGAAATAGAGGTTGCTTCCACAATATTATAAAGATTGCTGTGATAAACATCTCTAGACCCAAATCTTGGTCTATGTTTGAGGCTCTGTCTTTGGGATGAATTCTCAGAAGTTAAATGATTGATCAAATAGTATGATCACTTCCAAGAGCCTTGATATACCATATTTAGCACTGCAAGTTGCTTTCTAGAAAGATTAGCTACAGATGTGTATGAGAGAACCCTATGGCCAAGCGAGGTGGCTCATACCTATAGTCCCAACACTTTGGGAGGCCAAGGTTGGAGGATCGCTTGAGCCCAGGAGTTCAAGACCAGCCCTGGCAACATAGTGAGACCCCATCTCTCCACACACACAAAGAAAGAGGCCAGGCGTGGTGGTTCACGCCTATAATCCCAGCACTTTAGGAGGCCTGGGCAGGCGGATCACTTGAGGTCAGGAGTTCGAGACTAGCCTGGCCAACATGGCAAAACCTCATCTCTACTAAAAATACAAAAATTAGCCAGGCATGGTGGCACATGCCTGTAATCCCAGCTACTCGGGAGGCTGAGGCAGGAGAATTGCTTGAACCCAGGAGGTGGTGGTTGCAGTGAGCCAAGATCACACTGCTGTACTCTAGCCTGGGCAACAGAGTGAGACACTATCTCAAAAAAAAAAAAAAGAGAGAGAGAGAGAGACCCATCTTACCACATCCCAGCTGCATTGAGGATTATTACCTTTTAGTTATTGTTAATTTGACAGGCAAAAATGACATCTCATTCTTAAATCTGCACTTTAAAAATTTCACCCAGTATTTTTCTAATACTGGTTTTATTGGCTACAATGTGTTAAGCGTTTACTATATGCCAAACATAGGGTAAATATCTTTTTCATTTTTTAGAGAGAGACAGGGTCTTACCTGTTACCCAGGCTGGAGTGCAGTGGTGCGATCATACTTCACTACAACCTTGAACTCTTGGGCTCAAGGGATCCTTCTGCATCAGCCTCCCTTTTAAGTAGCTAGGACTACAGGTGCACCACCATGCCTGGCTAATTTTTTTTTTTTTTTTGTAGTAACAGGGCCTCAGTCTGTTGCCCAGGCTGGTCTCAAACTCCTGGGCTCAAGTGATCCTCCTACCTCGGCCTCCCAAAGTACTGGGATTATAGGTGTAAGACACCACACCCAGCCTCCATAAAATGTCTTAATCAAACTTCTGTGTATATATCCAAAAGAAGCAAAAGCAGGGACTCTAACAAATATTTGTACATCTATATTCACAGCCATATTATCCATCATAGCCAAAAGGTGCAAGAGACCCAAATGTCCACTGACAAATGAATAGATAAACAAAATGTGGTGTGTATATATGCAAGGAGATATTATTCAGCCTTAAAAAGGAAGAAAATTTTGACCCATGTGACAACATGGATGAACCATGAAGACATTATGCTAAGACAACGTGCCCATTACACAAGGACAAGTATTGTACGATTCCTTTTATATGAGGTTCCTAGAGTACTCAAATTCAGAGACAGAAATCAGAATGGTTGAACTGGGAGAGGTGGCTCACACCTGTAATCCCAGCACTTTGGGAGACCAAGCTGGGAGGATCACTTGAGCCCAGGAGTTCAAGACCTGGGCTCAGAGTGAGATGGACAACAGAGTGAGACAGCAGAGTGGACAACAGAGTGAGATCCTATCTCTACAAAATAGCCTGGACAACAGAGTGAGATCCTATCTCTACAAAATAAAATTTTTTAAAATTAGCCAGGTGTGGTGGCACATGCCTACTACTCAGGAGGCTGAGGTGGGAGGATTGATTAGACTCAGGAGATCAACATTACAGTGGGCTGTAACTGCCCCACTGCACTGCAGCCTGGGAAACAGAGCAAGATTCTGTCTCAAGAAAAAAAAAAAAAAAAAAAAAATTCTAATCAATCTTTGCAACGTGTTATTTTATAAGATGTTATTATTACCTCCATCCTTCTTTAAAAGATGATGAAACTAAGGCTCAGAGAGGTGAAACACGTTCCTAGAGTCACGCAGCTTCTAAATGGTGAAGACAGGTTTAGATGCCAGGTCTTACTCTCCAAGGCTACGTTATCCTGCAAATTCTGGTGGACCTGGGAGGTAAAGGGGAAATACAGTCAAGCTCAAGGTGGCAGATGGAGTTAGCAAGTACACAGTGCCAAACGGAACTGCTGGCCCTGAGAGCTCAGAGTTCAGTTCTAAATTTATTCTCTCTGACCTTATTGTGGGTTCTAAATTTGGCCAAACAAGTTCTTCCAGACCGATTAGTGACGTGGATACATTGTTTTGAAGATAAAACCCTTTTCCTGGTATGAAATAAAAAAAATAATAATACAGCGTTTGCTTGCAGCAGCCATCCTGCCGCTGGTTAACAGCCATCTGAAAATGATTCTGGGTTTTCCACCTCATGGTGGACACGTGTACTTGTTGGCCGATTTCTTGGGGACAGTGATTAAAACCATTTCCTGAACCGAAGTCTGAATTTCTCCTCCTGAATGAACCAGAAACAAAACATCAGGAAATACCCAGGCATAAAAATTCTAACCAGGGCCAGGTGTGGTGGCTCACGACTGTAATCCCAGCACTTTGGGAGGCTGACGGGGGTGGATCACCTGAGGTCAGGAGCTCAGGACCAGCCTGGCTAACATGGCAAAACCCCGTCTCTACTAAAAATACAAAAATTAGCCGGACATGGTGGCAGGTACCTGTAATCCCAGCTACTCGGGAGGCTGAGGCAGGAGAATCGCTTGAACCTGGGAGGCGGATGGGAGCAGAGGTTGCAGTGAGCCGAGATTGCACCATTGCATTCCAGCCTAGGTGACAAGAGCAAAACTCTGTCTCAAAAAAAAAAAAAAAAAAAATTCTAACCAGAACCAAACTTGAAATTCTCCCAAAATTACAAATTAAGACCAAAATAGGCCTCTTTGGGTGGTTTCCAGGCCAGGGAGGAGTTATGGGGTCCTTGGAGACTCACCAGCTGAGTCCTGACTTCTCTGGGGAGGTATTGGGGTGACTGACCTATTTGTGACCCCTTCTCAGACACCCTGTCTCTAAGGAGGTGGAGGAGGCATGTGACCCACATGGTCTGGCCACTGATGACTGAGCAAGCTACGGACACCGGACCCGGGAGAGACCATTCACTCACTGGCCACAAACATGACTTCAGACGCATGCCCTAAAAGGATGAGCCTGGGTACTGGATTCCCTCCCTCAGAAATGTGGATCAAGAGACACAGGATGTTCCTGCTGGTTCAGCTACTTGAGTTAAAAGGTCATGGATACCTGGATGTGGGGTGGTCATTCTGGGAGTACATCCATATAGAAAGAGGAGCGGGTGCTGTGGGATTCTGGATCCCAGTGATAGAGCTAAGTGGCTGGATCAAGCTTCACCTGAAACCCACTCTACTTGTCTTAGTCTGTTTTGTGTTGCTATAAAAGAATACCTGTGACTGGGTAATGCATAAAGAAAAGAGGCTTATTTCATTTTATAATTCTGCAGGCTGAGACATTTAAAGGGATGGCCCTGACTTCTGGCAAGGGCTTACACGTTGCATCACCACATTCAGGAAAAGGGAAAACAGAAGGGAGACTGCAAAACAGGGGAAAACCTGAAGGTCATCATGGCTTTATAATAACCCACTCTCACAGCAATGGGTTAGATGGAGAACCAATTCAGTCTCACGAGAATGACAGCAAGAACTCACTCACCAGCGAGAGGGTGGCACTTCCAAGCCATTCATGAGGAATTCACCTCCATAGCCCAAACACCTCCCACTAGGCCCTAACTCCCATCACTGCCACACTGGGGATCAAATTGCAACATGAGTTTTGCTGGAGACAGACAACCCCTATCCAAATCACAGCACTACCCCTGAACTTTCTGTTACATGAACCAACAAATCTTCCTTTAAATTAGTGTCATTGGGTTTTCTGGGATTTAACTTTTTTTTTTTTTTTTTGAGATAGGGTCTTGCTCTGTCACCCAGGCTGGAGTGCAGTGGCACAAACACAGCTCACTGTAGCCTCGACCTCCTGGGCTCAAGGGATCCTCCCACCTCAGCACCCCCCACTTATGCCCTCCAAGTGGCTGGAACTACAGGAACCACCACACCTGGCTAATTTAAAAAACAAAATTTTGTAGAGGCCGGGTGCCGTGTCTCATGCCTGTAATTCCAGCACTTTGGGAGGCCGAGGTGAGTGGATCACTTGAGGTCAGGAGTACGAGACCAACCTGACCAACATGGTGAAAACCCGTCTCTACTGAAAATACAAAAATTAGCCAGGCGTGGTGGTGCATGCATATAATCCCAGCTATTTGGGAGGCTGAGGCAGGAGAATCGCTTGAACGCGGGAGGCAGAGGTTGCAGTGAGCAAAAATCATGCCACTGCACTCCAGCCTGGGCAACAGAACGAGACCGTCTAAAAAAAAAAAAATTGTAGGTTTGTAGGGACACAGTCTCACTATGTTGCCCAGGCCAGTCTTCAACTCCTGGGCTCAAGCAATCCTCCTGTCTTTACCTCCCAAAGTGCTGGGATTACAGGCATGTACCACTGCACCCAGCCTAACATATTTTTAATAACCAAGAGAAACATCTCCATAGCCTCGTGACCCATCCTTTTTAAACCTGAAATTGGTAGAGTAGGTTTCTGATTCATAGAACCCAAACAAACATTCCTCCCTAAAGCAGGCAGAGGCTCTTTGGGAGAGTTTACATTCAAAACAGTGTCCCTGTAAGTCCCAAGTGACAAGTTCCCCTTTCCTGGGCTGAAGCATTCTGAGGAGAGGCAAAGAGGCTAAGGCTTAGCTGCAGGAACACGCTGTCCCCACGACAACCCCCCTTCTCAGCCTCGGAACTGCTGTTATCAGAGTTGTGTTGTCTCTTGAAGGTTCCGGACAAAGGGTGAAGCAGGGACTCCTGAGTCTAAAGGGCAGGTCGGGGCCTGGGAGAGAAGGGGAAGCTGGCCTGGGGCGGAGATGTTTTCCATTTCCCCTGGGCTCCCGCATGGGACAGCTGCTGTTCATAGCCAGTTCAGCCGACCATGGGAGGAATCACATCCACTCGACAGGCAGGCAGTGATGACGCTGGGATCTGAACATGGGGCTGAGGGGCTCCAGGCGTGGCACCTGTCCCACTACACTGCGGGGAAGCTCTGACTGCTGCAGCCTCCGTTGTGGCCACATCTGCCCTCTAATTTCCCTTCCAGCTGGTTCCGCAATCAGCAGCCGCTTCAGACATCCCTGGAGGCTCCAAGGAGCTGACTCCTGATGAGGAAAAGGATCAGCCACAGACTCACTCTTCCTCCAGCCACTTCCAGACCCATGGGAGGCGTGGGTGTGTCCCAGACTACCTGGGAGTATCTGCTTTTGTCTTCATCCAGGGCAGGACCCTCTAAAGAAGGAGCCCTCAGAGAAGGGGAAAGCCAAAAGGAATTAAAAGTAAATTTCCAGCCGGGCGCGGTGGCTCACACCTGTAATCCCAGCACTTTGGGAGGCCCAGGCGGGCAGATCAGGAGGTCAGGAGATGCAGACCATCCTGGCTAACATGGTGAAACCCCGTCTCTACTAAAAATACAAAAAAATTAGCTGGGCATGAGCCTGTATTCCCAGCTACTCGGGAGGCTGAGGCAGGAGAATGGTGTGAACCCGGGAGGCGGACCTTGCAGCGAGCCGAGATTGCGCCACTGTATTCCAGCCTGGGCAACAGAGCGAGACTCCATCTCAAAAAAAAAAAAAAAAGTAAAAAAAAAGTAAATTTCCAAATGGAAATAAATAAGCAGTCATAATTGGTCATATTGGTGAAATTGGGCACTAAGGGCCAGGCAATGGGCTGTGGGATAATGTCCCTTGAGAGGAAGGTGCTGAGGTCCAGGAGGTTCAGGCAGGTGACATGACTCACCCAGAGCCACTGGCTGGAGAGTGGCAGGGCTAGGTTGGAGCCCAGGTGGTGGACTTCACAGGTGCAGCCGTGACCGCTGTCATCCCTCCCCTGGGGAGTTGTTGCAGACAGCAAGACACAGTGCTCTAAGCTATTTCTCCATCTGGTGTGCCCGGATGCCTCTGCCCACCCAGGACCCTCCTCTCAGGTGGCCCACCACTGCCCTTCCATCACAGTTCATACCTTCTCTCTGGACCCACAGGGGTATCCACTGGACCAGGACCCCAGGGAGGATCCCAGTCCTGATCCCACCACTCTCTGGCCATGGTGACAAGGGGCAAGTCAATTCTTTCCGAGCCTCAGCTTTCTCACGTGTACAATGGGAGTTTGTACTAGACAAGAAGTTTTCAGGCCGGACACAGTGGCTCACGCCTGTAATCCCAACACTTTGGGAGGCCGAGGCGGGCGGATCACTTGAGGTCAGGAGTTCGAGACCAGCCTGGCCAACATGGTGAAACCTTGTCTCTACCAAAAATATAAAAATTACCCAGGTGTCATAGCGCATGCCTGTAGTCCCAGTTACTCTGCAGACTGAGGCCAGAAGAATCACTTGAACCGGGGAGGTGGAGGTTGCAGTGGTCCAAGATCTCACCACTGTACTCCAGCCCAGGTGACAGAGAGAGACTATCTCAAAAAAAAAAAAAAAAAAAGTTTTCAAACTGCTGACTGCACCTGTTTGTAGGCCCTGAGCTCAACTGAGTGAGTCACACAGGTATTCACTGACGTGATTCTGCCTCCGAGGCCACATTTTCTCCAGTGCACCTCTGTCCTTCAGCAAGTGACCTGAGGCTGGGACTCCCGCATGCTGCCTCCCATCACCTTACCCAGACCTACTGCTCGCTACAACGTGCTTAATGATTGTCAGGTGACTCACATACCCTGTTCTGTTCTGCTTCACAGTGTCTGCCAGCCCGTGGAGTATGGCACAGTGGCTAAGAGCCAGGGTCAGGCAGTGCGACTCCACCTCTCCAAGTCCCCAGTGCAGCATCTGATCAGAGGGAATAACTCCACCTGCCTCCCAGGGCTATTCTGTGAATACTAATCAGCATAACGCATGTGAAGGTCTTGGCGTGGTGAGCACATGACCCCAAGGTCAGCTCCCTACAATGATGAAGTTCATATCACAAGAGGCCCCTAGAGGTCAGGACAGCCTTTCA